CATCTATGTTCTCTGAAGCGGGAGAGGAGCACAAGGAAGAAAAATTTGGGAAAGCAGTAGCCAGTAAACTGGTTACCACTTTACATCCATGGTCTTCTGTGGGTGAGGTGACTGCAGTGACTCCCAGTGCTGGCTCCCATGGGGAAGAACAGACCCAGTGCCCCTGCAGCAGCAGCAGCAGCAGCATGACTCTTGTGAAAACTCATGGTACAAGCAAGAAATTATTTGGTTTGTGACCTACCTTCACCAAGGGATGTCCCTCACAGAAGAACCATGTTTATTGGAGCACTGCTCCAGCACTCTGTAACAATCTGCCGACCTCAGAAACCACCACTGGCTCGTGAATTGTCCCAGGCAAAGCACAACACTTCCCTGTCCCAGAAAAATAAGCTGAATTCTGGGAGTAAGATGAACCAGAGGGTCAGTGTCCCTTTTACTTCATGTCATATCATAACAATGAATATTTAGAAGATAAAGAAATCATTTTTCTCTGCTTAGAAAAACCTTCTGATGTTCCTGTGGTATTTTGGGTTGACAATGATTAGAGATGACATGCACAGCTTTTCACTTACAGAAAGGGAACATGGGCAACTCACATTTTCCAAATTCCTCACAAGTAACTCACCTGATGACACAAGAACAAACAAATCAAGCCATCTGTACCAATCTCATCTGAACAACTTGAATTTGAGATACAAAGGATTTCTCAAAGGAAAGAGCCAAGTGTCTGAAGCCATTTTGGAGTTGGACATTTTTTCTTAAGAGCTTTAAGCATCTCCAGCTCTTTTATCCAACATACTACAAGGCATCTTAAAACATTCTGTATTACAGAATGCTATCTGAATGTACCCTCTAGCATCCTCAAAGGATTGCTCCAGCTCAGCATCTGCCTGAAACACTGAGCCTTCTTGCCTGCCTTTCTTTTTCCCCTTCCTGCTTGGGGCTAATCAGTCTACTTGTTTCTCTGGAAGAGCATTATGCTTCTCAGAATGCCCTAGGTACTGGAGAGACCCTTCAGTCCACCCTCAACTACTCATAATTATACTTCTACCTCTGATTCACTCATCAGTCAAGAAAGCAGAGATCAAAAAAGGCATTCCCTTATTTTCTGTCAGAACATCATTCAGCCTAAGAACATTTTTGCAGAATAAGATGATTCACTGAGATTAAATTATGTGCTTATTTTCAGAAGTTTCCAATCCATCTTCCCAGAAGCTGTCTGCACACTCCTCCTCTCTTTCATTTCAACAGAAGCCCTCTGCAATAAGCACACAACTCTTCTGGTTAGGTTTCAGAGTTTCTGTTCCATCTCCAAATTCTTTTGATCTCTCAAATTGTTGACTTTGCCCTTTTTGGCAATATTTTCACTCAATGGTGATTCCCCTCTGAACTTCTCGCTCCACTTCTGGCCTCTCCTTGGTCCTGTTCTCAGCTTCAGCTTTCCTCAGAGACTGCTTTCCATCTATTTCAATTTCAGATGGTCAAAACTTAGCCCCTTCCTGATCTTTCATGGGCTTTCTTCCTCTTTCTTATGGCCCTGTGAGCAACATCCACTGCAGTATTCCAACCCACAGAGCTGGGAACTAAACAAACCCCTGTTCTGTGCCTGCTCCTACCCACAACATATCCCTTCCTCTCTCACTAGCAAAAGCATCCCTTACTCTGACCAGTAGCTGGTGGTCACTTTGGAAATACTTGCTTATACCCAACATATATGAATTTATTTTTTCCATGTACTATTTACTCTGTGACCGGCAGCCTCAAACAAAAGGGCATTTTCTTCTAGTGTTTTGGGGTGGCTATGGTTTTCTTCCTCCCAAATGCAGTATTAATAAACCCATGAAAAAAACAAAAAACAAAAAACCCAAAACAAAACAAAAAAACAAGCAAAAGCATCTCTGTAACAGCTACTCTATACTTGGAGCTAGCTAATGATGTCTTCACATGGGTACAGTCCCTCTTGAAAATGCCAGCATTCCCAGAGTCCCATGGAAAGCAACTAATAGAGGACCATGTCTATGCTTTCAATTATCTTCAACTACTTTACACCACTTGCTGCTCCAGAAAGAATGATTTCATCATTCATAATAAAACTGAAGTGAAACGTTTTTTATGTATCAACAAACTCCATTTCATTTGTGTTACGCTCTAAGCAGTGGGAGTGGCTGGTGTTCCTTACCTGTGAGCTCTCAGTGAATCCACTTGGGCTCTGTCTCAGAACATTGGACTGCCCTGAAGTGTGGGGTTCTCAAAAACAGCAGAGGAGAAAGGAGAGAGCACAGGTGGAGAAGGCTCTGCATTTTGGTGCTTTGCACAGAACTGCTGGCTTAAAAATAGTGGCTTGCAGGGAGGCTGGGAAATTTGACTTGTCATAAAATGCAACCTTTCCCCCAGTAATCCAATGTATTTTAAGTATTAAGAATCTAATGAAGAAGTTACCCCTTGCTTTGTTCCAGGCCTTGTGACAGATCAGTTTTTCAAGGACAAATCCCCACCTACGTCAATGAATTCCAGCAGTGCTGGTGGAGCTGCTGAGATACACTTGAGGTAGCCCAGCATGGGAATATGGCAAGGAAGAACAAAACCAAGCACAGGCCTGGTCAGAAACTCTACAGGTGTGAGGAGGAATAAACAGGAGGGATGCACTCCCACTAGAATAACAGGATTTTGTTTTTTTGTTGGCTCTAAACATCACACACGCTCTGATGCCTCCAGTAGGCTAAACAACACCACACAGTTTCCCAAAGCAACGCATTTACAGGGATTACCATGAAACCTGCAGGATATCAGTGCCTGGAAATCCCCCTAGTGAGAAATTTGTATCCTACAGTCAACAGCAAACCACTTTTTGCACCTACCAGTATATGCTGTTTTCTAAAGGATAACACTCAGTTGTTTTCATTAAAGCTCAGTCTTTGATAGGACAGAGGCAGCAATTTATGCTAAGGTTGATCACTAAGGACTTTTAAGAGGTTTTAAAAAACAAACCTGAAAACTCTCTTGGCTTTCCATCTGGCTTAACTCTTTGTAGAATGCACCCATTTATAGACAGCATTTCTGACAGAAGGAATTTCAAGAATGCAGCATAGTGGCAATGTAGCTGATTAGCCCTGTGGATAAAGTTTCTCCAAGCTGGACTTTTGGTCAGTGTACAACATTCAGCATACAAAAATACTCTGGTGGTCTTTCACTTCAGCTATAATAAAAGAGATCTCCTACACTTTAGCTAGAATAAACCACACACAAACCAGAGAGAGAGGGGGAGAGAGAGAGAGAGAGAGAGAGAGAGATGGCAGATACACTGAGAATCTGCAGTGTAGATAATCAAACCCTTTATTGTCTAAGTTACATTAGACTTGCAACACCATAAAAACCTGTTAAGAAGAAGAAACAGTAGATTGGTAGAGGTAGTAGAAAGTCCCTGTAACAGTCATAAAAGGGCTTTACAGGAGTGTGTCATGCCAAAAAAACTTATCACGTTGCTTAAAAGAGCTGATCAAAGCCCATTTGACTAAATAAATAAGAACACAACTCATTTTAAATACTATGGTCTAACTAAAATAACAAATCAATACAATACAATGATAAAGAAAAAAATCCCAGAAATCGTGGGATTCACTTTCAAAACCAGATGGTCCTTAAGGTTGGTTTTCCCCCACCCACTCTTATTTCTTGTTTAATTAAGTGAAAATCTCACTTCTGTGCCATACACAGCATATAATTATTTAAACTGATTTTCCCTACTGTTGTTCTTCATGAAGCTAAATTATGATTGTAAACTTTGCTGATTAGTACCCTGGCAATGGCAGTGACAGCACTAGCTTCTCTGGCAAGAATTCGGGAAGAAAATTCCAGAAAGAAGATTTTGGCTCTAAATATTAACTCAGATTTTCTAGTTCAGCTTGCCAAAAAATACAATTTAGAAAAAGAGAGAATTTACAAATGTACACTACACTTCTGTGCCATTTTGGGTATAGAAGAGTTTTTAATAACTAAACCACAAACAAACAGGTTAAGCAACTAGCTTTTTTGCATTCCTGAACTGTCACCATTACTTTCTCTCATGAAAAATGACTCAGAAAAGCAACAAAATAAAAAAAAAGAAATTTAAAAAAAAATCAAAAACAAAGAGAAAGCTAGTGCAAACCCAAAATGATAATCATTAAGCAACACAGCAAAATATTTAACTTTTTCTTTTCTTTTTTTCTTTTTTTTTTTTTTTTTTGGGTGTACAATGGAATGTGTCTATGCGACCTCCCTCAAAATAACTTCACAGAACAGTTAATTACAATCACTTTTAAGTACTTGCACAGACATTCCTAACTACACCGGGACTTACAGAGAACTCTGGTTTACATCTCATGTAATAGCATAAGGAAAATCTAGTTTAAAAAAAATAAGTAAGAAAGTTAATTTGCATTGTTGCAAGTGTTGCAAAGTAACAAAAACTGTCAAGTAATTCAAAACAAGTAACAAGTAGTATCCAGCCCAAATTGCTGACTAGATTTTTTTTAAAAAGCAACCCCCACCCGCCCACCTGTTAGAACAGAACTGTTAGAACAGAAAGATCACGTTTTAAAGTTTTTTTCTACTTTTTTTTTTTTTAACAAATCTTTTGTCAGAAGCCCATTCTACAAAAACAGCACTATTCCATTACTGTATTAAGTAAACTGTGGTCTCACCTGTATTAAAGGTTAGCATCATTTCTGTACATGTAAAATTATTGCTTTTTTGAAAAATATATTTAGCATGCTAGTTGTTTTTTTAACTCCATTTCCTGCCTTTACAAAATGTTACAATTTAAAAAAAACAAACAAACTAGTAAAGCTTTTGCAAAAATTTTCACAGAACATTTTCTTTCAAGGCAGCAGTAACTTTTGATAATGCATAAAATTATATGTGCAAAATCTGAAACTTTCAGAAATATTACCATCACACATAGTGTCACAGCAATAAGAAAAGAAAATATTTATATCTGTGGAATACATTTTTAATTGCTTTCACTGCATGGTTTAACAACCTGTTATGTGCCACAACCCCACCTTGAAAACTTGCAGTTAAAAGAGTTACTGTAGAAGAGGTATATAAAGCTTTTTTTTTTCTTTTTTTTTTTTTCTAACACCACCAGTGATCACCAAGTACAAGACATGACACATTTATATGAACATAAACCTGCCACCACAAAAGAAGTTCCTCCTCTTTCCAGAACATCAGTGGGCCCAAGGAGGAGCAGCAGCTGGTCTGCTGAACCAAAGGCAGGAGCAGAGAGCACCTTATGGCCCCAGGGCTGCCTGAATCCATTCAGTGACACCTTTTCTCTTCCAAACAGACAGATCAGCGGTGTTAGACAGCTGAATGTTTATTTTCTCCTTTTTATTTTTTCATTAAGTGAAGACTTCCTTTGTGACCAGGTTGAAGAAAGTAGCCCTGTTACAAAAAAAAGGTCCTGAGAGTAAAACACAGAAGCCTGTTTTTTTTCTTAGTGTTCAACTAGCTTTTCTTTTCCAAAGCAGAATAGAAGCTTTTCTCGGGAAGTGTTTCAATTTCCATATTCACATACTATTAATGGTGCGCAGTCAAGAGCGAGAGCACTAGAAATGCAAGTGGTCCCCAAACTGTAATGAAATAAACCATTGCAGAATGATGGTCTTTCTCTTTAGTCCCTTTAATCCTTCATCAAGCATTGGTTTCTCAGCACCGAATGCCACCTTTTCCCTGCACCCCCCATTCTTCCTTTCACTGTTGTTGTTTTGCTTTTTTTAATTTGCTTTTCAGCATGACAGGCAGTGGCAGTTTCATTAATTAATACTTCTCCAGCCCTCGAATCCACTGCTGTTTTTCAAATGTATCAAATAGTCATTGTGAGCATCAGGGAGGTTTTTGTTACAGTGCTTAACTTCTTCATGCTGTCCAAATCACATAAAGTTTAATTTTTCCAGTGTCTCAAACTTCTCTTGATTAATATAGATGCCTTGTGCCGCCACAGTGCTTGCCAACTCCGCTGTTTATTATAAGGGAAATAAGGAACCATGGGACTGATTAGTACGTCAATTTATATATATCTTGTGTAGCATCTTCATTTGTTTAAGGATGATTAACAGCACGGGGGCACCCCCCTCCTGGCAGAGCCTGCTCCCAGCCCGGCGCAGCCGCTCTGGGTGCGGCCCTGGCTGGTAGGGGATGCTCTGGAGCGCGGGGGCTGCCGGGGCTCCTCCACCCGGGATCTAGGTTCCCTTCCGGAGATGCAGCATGTGGGTGAGCTCTGCGCTGCCGTGGTCTCTGCCCTGCAAGAAGGACAACACGGGGAAAAGCTCATTCTCAGCCCTGCTCCCAGGCACGACCCTCCGGCAAGTTCTGCCGGCATTCGTTACCCTTTATTAGCATCATGTACATTCATCTTGACCAACCACGTGAGAACACTGTAGGGTTTGTTTTTTTTAAAGCATCTCCACCAAGAGCAAAGCATGTTCAGGCCCATATAAAGTCCTACATAAAGATGGACTAGAACAAGAAGTAACAGGACCTGGCGGAGCAGCTCAGAGAAGGCTGAGAACAAGAAGGGAAAAAAGTGGCCTCCAAAAAGTGGAAATTATGTGCTAGCCAAAAGGGATTCACAACTAGATCAGTGTTTTAAAAAGGCTGAAGTTTGAGGTCACAGAGGCAGCTAAATGAAGAAAAACTGAATTCTTGTGCAGGTCTGTCAAATGCGAAGGCAGCTTTTTTCCCCCCTTGTCATCTTCCTTTTATTTTCTTAGACAATTTTCATGAATAATTACCACTTTGAAAAAAAAAAAACAGGGATATTCTAAAATAAAGTAAAATAAAGATAACATCATGAATAAGTGGGAGCCTGCAGCTCCCAAGAAAAGCTTTAAAATGACATTTAGAACATCACTGTCGGAACAATGCAGTTTACAATCCTGATCCTAAAACAACATGGCAAGATTAATCTTACATAAATGCATTATCCTTAAGCTAAAGTCTTGATGAAGTGAAACAGACCATTTTAAATTAATGCAACATAAAATACAGCACCCATGTAAAATCCAAGCAAGTTTCAAGCTGTGCCTATGGCAGCCCTCGAAACAGCTAAAGAAAGCCCAGCTCTGGTTGACATAATGTATTAAGTGCATCTCTTTTGTTAATAGATTTAGAAAATTCCTAATTAAACCTGGCCCGAGATTCATGACATTTACCAGTCAAAGTTTGGTTTTAAGTCGGAAAGATTTGCAACAAAATTAAAGAAAAAAAAAGCTGCTGTACAGACTGCAGTATATTTGAAATGTAGGAAACAGTAACTGAATGAGAGATGTGATAAAACTTCCTTAGTTGGATGCTGAATTTCCTGCAGTAAACTAAGAAAGATGCTTTACATTTTTGCGCGGCTGCATCATGCCTGAGAGACACAGCCGCAATTCCAGGAGGAGGCATTCATCACTGGAACGCCTCGCATCGAACCGGCTCCGCGTACACAGGGGAGCACAGCAGAGCTTCACAGGGCTGGGGAGGAGGGAGGGAAGGGAAAGGGAGGGATGGCAGGCCCCTTGCCCCACTCTCCCTGGGCAGAAGCTGGAAAAGGGGTGTAATTAGGGGCCCTCTTCTGGGATGGATGGCCTGTGAGGTGGTGAAGGCGTGCCCTGCATGTCATGGACCACACAGCACAAGGGATCCAGGAGAAGGACAATCCATCCTCCCCACATCTGCAAGGACAGTGCAGAGGGGCTGGAGATGCTGTGCGGCTGGGTCCCTCTCAGGCACAGCTGTGCTCCCAGTTTCACTGGCGAACAGAACCTGAGCTTCACGTGTGCCGAAATCACCCAGGAGCTCACCCACCTGTACTCACACCCTCCCAAGATATGGCCACATTTTGAACCAGCTGATACAGAGCTGGATTGAATTGTTCCTGAAATATTTTTTTTTTCCATTTTAAAAACTAGGCTTTCTTCACTTTCAGTGAAAAGCAGCAGATCTTTACATGAAACCTACAGCTTCCATGCCAAAAGCTGCTCTCATAGCAACTTCCAGGGCTTTTCCCTAGTTAACAGGAAAAACCCAGTGTGTGTGCATGTTAATATGCTGGAGACAATCACTGCATGACACTGAAGTAAACTGCAAGGAGCACAGATACCACTGCAGTTTGCTAGCAAGGGACAAGTGTTGGGACAAGAACTGGAGCTCCAAATCCTGTCTCTAATGCTCATAAAGTAACAGACGTACAGCACATGCATATTACTCAGATGCCAGTACAGCAGCCTCCATGGTTCCTTGATTGTTTGCATTATAATCTCCATATGTATGAACGAGACAAATTAGGTTGCCATTTATTTGTTCATTATCTATTATTTTGATTAATGGAATTCTTGTTCTCAGAATAACTATTTAAAAATAACATTTGCAATAATGAGGACTGAACTATTAATCATGATCTTTGGAAGAAACTCTGCAAGGAACCGAGGCAAGACATTTCATATGAACAAATGTCATAAATAGGACTTCTCACAGACAGTACTAGAATTTTGAGTGCAAGAAAACCCAAACCAGCCAAACTCAGAAACCAATAGTTTAAATAACTTTTTAATCTGGGTTATGTTTTTTTGCCTCTTCCCTTTCTCCGTAAAGTTGCTTTAGGACAAGCAGAGCCATAGTGTTGCTGGACTATAAAAACATTACAGGTAACAGATGTCCCCAGCTTTTCCCCTGAGCTCCTTTACAACACACATATAGACATGTATATAGTGTTTTCTTGATGGCTCTTTCACATCTTTCTATCCCCCAAGCTCGGGCTATTCATATTTACATGATTTCAAGTACTGAATGCTGCAAGAAATATTTTTAAATACTTATAGTGGAGAAAATAAAGGTTTATGGAGCTGTTAATGAAGGGTCACACAGTAGGTACAGGACCTACTGCACACCTGTCTTTTCAGTGAATGAGGCCCAAAATCTGGGGTGTCCAGAGCTGTTTCACAAAAAAGGCCGATCACAGCCTTCTGGCATGGGGAAAGCTTCAGCCAGAGATTTCAGGATATCCAAAAACAGTTTGGATTTTTTCCATGGGCTGCAGCTTCTAATTGATTTTCTGTAAATAAGAACTGGTTTTTTTGGAAAGGACACAGGTTGGAGTTTTGGGGATTTTCCTTGTTTCACTCACACAGAAGATGGAGAACTTGGTGTCTCTGCCTCCAGTGCTGCAAATATGGCTCACATACATATACACTCAATGAGAGAGAGCTCTCCCTCATTGCTAACCAGGAAATCAGGCCTTTTGAAAACCCTATTTCTTATCCCTTAAAATTTTTAGAGAGTATTGATTGACACTGATAGAGCATAAACTACATTCCTAAAGCGGGCCAGGTTTTTATACTGCTTTAAAAACGCAGAAGGAGTCAAAACGCACAGCGTACGCGTTAGAAACTGCCACCGCTGCTGTCACCACGGTGAAAAAGCAGGCTCCAGACTGACTCCTGTACCTCTGGGAATTGGGCTTCTGGCTGCAGCATCAGGCAGTGCCTCTGAAATGACCCCACGCTTTAGGAGAGCCTTGCTTTGAGACACACACGTGGTTGCAGGGCCCCTTCTGAAGGGGAGCCAGCTTTTGTCTTGCCATGTACATGCAATGGGAGTGTACTCCCCGAATCCATGCCTGCTAAATCGTGTCTCTGGATGTTGTCTAAGAGTATTCCAAATTAAGATACATATTCATTGTGGATAAGCAAGTTTAATTATAATACTGGGATATTTAGCATTTATAAAAATATTCAGAATATTCAATATGTTTAATATGGCAGCTTTTCAAGAGAATCTATGTGACTTAGCACAGATTGTATTGACTTGGGGTATGTAATGAGCATTTTTTGTCCTTTAGAAAAAGAAGAGTAGGAAATATTCCAAAGTTCATGGGAAATTAATTTTATGTAAAAATGTCATTTGGTTGGGTTTTTTGTTTAAAGCATTCAGGTAGAAATAAGAAACCACAATAAATAATGTTATGAATGAACATCTTATTTCCTACATTTCATTTATATTTCATTGGTGCTGATAATAAAGCATGAAACACAGCCCAGTGCTAATAGTAGCAAAACTGTGTGTTTGATCTTTTTTTTACACATACCTATAGGTAACCTCCTTTTCACAGATGCTGAACACCTGCACCTCCTGTTGGTGATTCACTACCCTGAAACAGGGATCTTATTTAGACACCTAAATATAGATTTAGCTGGTTCATTTTTGAAAAAGCCTGGCTGTAGGACCTATTTTTAACACGCAGAATTAGAATTATTCTGTGATAAAACTGCTATTCAACGTAGCACTGCTGTAAGCTACCATGCTGGGAGATTTTAAAAGCCCTACCTAACATTGTTTCCTGAAGGAAACCTTTAGAGTTGATCTGGCTGACTACAGAAGGGAATGGCGGAACCGTGAAATACTAATGTTAATATTTTTATTCTTTAGCAGACTACTCAGGGGAAGCTATTTTACCTGTGAGGTGGAAACATTATGTAAAGTGAATCATTTCCACTTGACATCAAAAAAGCCCCCTCTTCCCTTCTCAAACTACCATATAGGTAACTATTGTTTCTTGCTCGGAGCATGTGCATGGCACTTCTGTAACTTGAACTGACTTTACACCCTAAACTCTCATGAATAGATCTGTCCCCAATTAAGAAATGAAATGAAGACATGGAGTGACAACGTCTGAAGTGGGAAATGGTAATGTTAACGGAATGCTGCAGGCACCGTTCTCACTGAGAGCTCATTTCTGTGCTTCTAAAGGCCCCCACAGCTGCCTGTGGAAATGAGAGCATTCCCTCTGTAACGCCCAGGGACTGTGCAGGTGGAGTCTGCTGGGGCAGCACAATGCCTGCCTGCCACGAGAGCCAGCGAAACAGCAGACAACTGAATAACTCCCCCGACACAGATGCTGACAAATTGAGACAAAGGTTGGTACCGAGGAGCAAACAAGACAAAAGAAAGGGAACAATCTCCTGCAGGAGTGATGACACTGCATCTTCTGTGGAAGAAATACTGACTGGCACGAGATGAAGCCATTGGAGAAGGTAACCCCTACTCGGTGCTCTGCTGTACTGAGAGATGCTGTAATTTCATCAAATGCTTCGAAGGCAGACTGGCAGATAGAGAGAGCAAGCCACCTTCGCCATGGAAGAAGTTAGTCAATAAATTCTGGCATGACAATAGTTTACAAAGACAAGATTATGAGTCAATCAATTGTGCAGTAATATAACCCAAATTACAAAGAGAGCCCAGGTGTGGTCTGAGATGCCACATTTCTTTTTGGATATATACAGCCATTCCAGAATTTTTTGGAAATGTATTTCCAACTTTAACCTTATATTGTCTTCTAGAAGAAAGCCCAGATGCCTTCAGAATGTGATCTCAACTACACATGAGGAGAGAAAACCATGAGCATGAAAAGATGAAAGAGCGTTTTACAAGATGCTTAGGTTTACTAAATCTGTGTTACTAAACTGATGAGAACCAAAGACTAGCTGAGTGAGTTGGCAGAGCTGCAGTGTTTCACTCTGTTAAACTGACTGCATCTATGTCTCTGTTACTCTAAGTTGTGTCCTTGCACAGTTTTATCAGACAAGCATCATAAGGGGGACACTGCAACATAACTTTGCAGCTACTGTCCCACAAAAGCATAGCAAACATTGCCCACAACAACAACTGGGGTGCTATGCCATCTTGGAAACTTTATGAGAATTGCTGGCCACTCCTATGGCTTGGTGTCAATCCAGACACTCCTGCGACAGAGGCTGGGTTCTCCATGCAGCCTTTGGGCCAGAAAGATGCAAGGGCACAGAGGAGGTGCCAAGAGTCTTCGTGAAGGGTGCAGCACATGAACTAGGCAGTGCAGTGGTGCCCAGTAAGAACGTTCACTCAAGAAGTAGAAACCAATTCCTGAATTTCATAATGTTGGGGGTAGTATGAGATGCATTCTCTAAGCATGGCTAAAAACATCTGCAACAGTTTAGTAAGAGACAGGAGGACAGGGGCTGCTATAGTGAAAATTAAACTAAGAATGAGGATGAAAGGAAAAGTGAGTGATGCTGGAAGCAGTTTCACAATAGAAGGGAAGTGCCCATGAGAAGGTGTGCTCTGAAACAAACCTGCCAAGCTGCAAATGGAATGGAAAGGTACAGGTTATGACACTATTCTCCAACGTAAGATGCACAAAACAAGTTGTGTTTCAGTTTAAGGATTTTTCAGTTTAATGATTTTCTATATAACAGCTTTGTCAGGTATAATTCAGAGCTCTGAGAAGTGTTTGTTAAGACAGGAAACTGTATACTAGAAACAGGAAAGCACACTAGCAGAGTCCATGGAAACTGGTGGGTGAGAGCTTTTCAAAGTCAGATACTGGGTATCAGGGTGCAAATACTCTTCAGAAAAATACAGACTAAACGTTAGTTGTCTTGTTGCAGCAGAAAACGTGTTAATTGTACAAGCAAATTCCCAGGAATCCTTTATGTGCTATCTCACTATTACACGTCAGCGCACATTACAGAGTTACCCATCCCATCCAGTCCCCAAGTAAGCCAGTAACATGTTTATTTAAACACTAACTACCTGCTTTAAAATTAACTGACTCTCTATATATCAGATTCTGATAAAATGCTTTAAAAATTTAAGAGCTAAAAATTAAGCAATACCATTATTATTTATATACGTTATAAAACAGTCAGTGCTTTAGTGATGAGTATCACTGTGCAGTTTTTTCCCAGCTACCACATTAAAAACCAAACACCCAATTAATTGTAAAACATACTTGTTTTGGGGCATCTGCGGAGGTGGTGTGAACTTCAGTACCTCGGAGTCCATTAGACTCGAACACCACTGTGGGAACAAGGGGGCTTGTTAACAGATGAACATTCAAGCTTCGTTAGTGTGTGTACATTATTTGAGACCATTACAGATTAACCACGTTCAAAAAAAAGACACCAGCTCCTAGCCTGTGGCCGGAAAATACCAATTTACCGTAACACTTACTGTAAGAGAGTGTGCTAATGGCAGCCTAGGGCCACTGCCCTTTTTAATTCAGACTTCAGCGCTGAAGAAAGCAATCACTGACAACATTAATTATCAGTGTATGTGTAAAGGGACCCTCTTCTTGCATTACTTACCATTTGGCTTCTGTCATTTTGCATCAGACTGGCTTATGTATGCATCATTCACACTTTTGAGGAGGAACCTGCTACTCTCACTGTCTCATGCAGTGCTCAGGAGGGCTCACGACACTGGTGGCTTCAGTGTCCTCCAGCCTGAACCACAGACTGTGGCAGGTTAAAAAAGGCTGGCAGGGATTTCCCATTTTAGGGCTGACCAGTCTGAAGGAAAATCTCGTTTTCCACAAAAATGTTCCTGTCAACAGCAACGATGAGGCAAAACAAAGCCTTATGTTGTGCTGAAAGGGGTACTTTGATTTCAATTTGTGCTGGTGGCAACAGAATTCATTAGCATATTCATTTCTGAGTACCCTACTCTCTAATTAAAATAAAACACTTGCAAACAGACTTATCTTAAATGCATTGCAATTTTATGGAGTTCGGCCAGGGATCAGGTAAGCAGTATTTGGAGAACAAGAGCAACAGTCATAAAAATAAAAAACATGTCTATTAGATTTAGGTACGGGAATTACTTAGGCTAACATGGTACGTGAAATGTAATTCTTGGCATTTTGTTAGCTGAATCTGAAAGCAGGCAAGTGGGAAATGGAGAAAGCAATATTGAGTGTGAAAAGATACCTGTGTGGGACCTCTGATGAGTCCTGAGGTGGCTGGGTTGGGTAAAGCATTTTCCACATTCTCTGCAGACACAGTCTCCTTGGCGTGTTTGTGTCCTGAGCATCCCTGTAGTCAGGAGAGAGGGAGGGAAGGGGGGGGGAGCGGGAGTGGGGGGGGGAGAGGAGAGAGGAAAGTTGAGAAGAAAACATTATGCCAGAAGAAAACATCATTAGTATGTCTAATGTGTCATTATGTGAGGCTACCTTCAGGCCCTGGATGACAACTGTCAGCCTTCATCTAGGCACTGGCTGACAGGCCAGGCACACACAGGACTGCAAGAATGCATAAATTACATTGAATTAAAAAATGCTCCCCATGATGTGCCCGCACCAGGACTGGCATGTCAGGTGTGCGCTTTTCAGAGCAGCTGGATCCACTTCTCAGCCATCACCCAGCTTTGTCAAGCAGTACATCAGGCAAATCAAAGTGACTCCAGCGTGGCGGAGACAAGTCACATGGATAATAGGAAGTGAGTAGGACCAGAGCCCGACTGTCCCCCCCAGGCGGCAATACCTCAGAGACAAATGCAGAGCGAGCGCAGCCATCGCAGACTGATCAAACCTTTCGCCCCTGCCTACCTGCCTGCCGGTGCTGCTCTGACCCCGGACCTCTGAGGCACAGACGAAAGACATCTGTGAATGAAAGTGTCATTCCGGACATTTTGAGCTGGTAGCAGCACAGCAGCCTTCCCCCAGCCCTGGGTAAACATGTTTTCTAGGCCATTAGCATTTGTGGAAAACCGCTCAAACCTCTCCTTTTTCTCCAAAGGTCAGTTTACAGCATCTGACTTAAAGGGCTGGTCTTTGTCTTTTTGCTGCTGATCAAAAAAGACACATTTGACTTTTATTGGGCTTTTTTATTATTTTTAAAAAATGTTTGAACATCATCTTTTCTATTTTGGTAAAACACCCTCTTTGGAATAAAAGAGTTGTTTCTATTTGCCACTGGAATACTTTGGCTTTTAAAGAAATTCGAGAGGGATGTCAACAGAAGTGAAGTTTCAGCTTTTCTTTCATATTCCCCCCCTCCTCCCAGTCACAGAATTTAAAAAGAATAAAATTGAGACCAAAAAATGGCAACAAAAAACCTCCACACAATGAAAAATCAACTGCAAGATGCCACAAGATTAATCCAAAATATGGATGCTGCACCTGAAAATGAATGGAGAAGAAGACAGCTGCCATTTACTCTGCCGGTATGACGCCAAGCATCCTGGGATGGTTTTCACCAGACCATATACTGCAAAGAAATCTCTTGCTGCAAAAAAACCTCCAAACAAACACCCCACTCACAGATTGTTTTCTTCTTTTATAATAGCACCTCCTGCAGATGGCAGCACAGTCTGCATAATGCACCTGAATACTCACTCACAAAATTAAGTTTCTGATTGTCAAATACAAGATCACGATTTGGGGAAAAATCCAGATCAGGTACAGACAAAAAAAAAAAAACCCCAAACAAACAAACAAACAAACAAAACCCTAGGGAAAAAACAACCTATCAAAAAAAGTTTAAAAATCACGTTGGTGTTCTAAACATCAATGAGAACCTTACTGAATGGTAATGGGACAGGTTTGCCTTTTAAGGAAGGCAGGATTAAAGGCGGATTTCTGAGCTGTTACGAGCATTTCTCCCCTCACTGCACAGAACTGTAGCTGCAAGCTGGAAAGCAAAGCTGAGGGAAGTGTGTGGAGGAACCAGCTGTGGCCTTTGCAGGAGTGCCAGGCTGACTGCTGGACAGGCAGGGACTGGCAGAGCAGCTTTGTGAGGCCCAGGAGGGCTGGGTTCCTCAGGTCATGGTTCTGACACCTCTGTAAAGACATTTAATCCCTCTGTAACCCATGTTTTCTTCTGTTGAAGGGGAATACACTTATCTCAGCAGCCATCACCAATCTGATCCACCAGCCTTCATGGAAGCACCTCTCCTACCCATGAGGGAAGGTTGAGCATGCTGGTTGTACATGTAAACCAATGTACAAACACCAAGGATGAGTGGGCTAAGACTTCCACCTAGCCCCTCCCTAACACTCACTTTATGGGAGTTATTCAAGAAGCAGGTGGAAAAACATGGATTGCTTCCAGGTGTATTTGCCATTGTTGCATTTCCCAGGTAGCACCAGAAGGCTTTTGATAGCTCAGAAGTTTGAGCCATGGGTGTGAGTCATCACTCAGGTTATCCTCTAGGTGAACAAAAGGGGGTGGATGACTACAGGTCATAAGTGTTTGATAATTCAGGTAAAGGAACACCACTGTGTGAATGGGAGCTCCTGTGAAATCCATGCTCAAAGCTGGTCTCAAAGGAGCCCTGAAGAGTGCATCTACTGCCATAACCCACCCTTTCCTAATATATAAATGGCACAAATAAAATAAATAACCTCTATTAAATGTAACAGTTAGATTCTCTCCACAGGCTTTTCGGAAGACTGGGAAGTGTGAAACAAACCTAGCCTAGCACAGCAAGCTTCATGTGTGCAGCTGTATCACAGCAGTACACACAACAACTCTCTTCCAAGGACACACTGGAACAAACACAAACATCAAAGAAAGGATCCCAAAAACAAATGCAGCCACTCAAAAGGAAGTTGAACACTGTACTACCACACACTAAAATAACCTAGTGTGATCCAAGATGACATCATATACCAAAAACCCCAAGGAAAGTCTATTGAGAATATGCAACTGAGGGGAAAAAACATGACAAATAGTATACATAATCCAGATTTTTCGATGTCCTTTATGTCATAATTGCCATATTCACATTACAGTATTAAAGCTAAATGGGATGATGCATACTGACTCAGAGGACTCAGCCTATCTAGAGCCATATGTTATTTCAGATGAAGTTCAATTACCCTCCTCTGTTTGCACTTGGTAGGATCTCGTTCCTTTTGCCTCAAGCAGCTTTTTATTTGAGTGCTATGAAAAACAGCCATCATGCCAATTGGTTTGGAGAAACATCAGCAACCTGGAAGTTGTATATAAAACCAAGACAAGCTACATTAAAAAAAAAAGATGTTTCAAATTCTGAAAACTTGATTGCTGTAAAACAGTTGGAATGAAAGAAGAGGTTTCAAAGCAGAGATGGGCACTAAATAACTTCCAGTTAAAGCGTCTCTAGAAATCACTGCCCAGCAAAAACATTTTGGCAATAAAATCCCTCTTTTAAAAGGCAGGTAAACAGAGACCTCTTTAAAAACCCTGCCCCTATTTTACTTTGTTCTGAAAGTCATCATGAATTTTCTGGTCCTTGCCTTCACTTAGTCATCTTCTATTTCCTAGCTTTTTACTGTTTTTCCCTTATCCCTCCTAACGTGGCTGGGAGCTCACTGGATCAGTAAGATTTCTCTGAGCAGGCTGACACAATGTACTATTAAATAACATCAAGGAGGGCACCCACGTGAAGGTACCCCAAGTTGAGGGTGGTACAATTAACTGGTACTTAGAGCAGGAAGTGGGCAGGAAGGAACTTTAGACAACAATCCACTGGGATGGCGAAAGCAAAGCCGACTGGACAAAAAAAACCCTAAGGAACACAAACTGTAGTTTCAGACACTAAGCATGTCTTCCTCTGCTTCCTTAACAAAACCCAGGAGCCTGATGTTGGTTGCAGTCATCATGCAGGCCCTGAGCTCCTGTGAAATGATCTGCTTGATAAATAACAGGTCCCTAAGCAGCACCACCTTTGGAGTGACTGAGCAGAACTGACAATGGAGGTGGATGCAAGGTGCAACTCACTCGTGGCCTATGTCAGGCAGGTTCTGCCCTCCTGTCTCCTCCAAAAGGCCCTTCCACCAAGACCTGACTTAACACTCTTGGCTCCTTCCTTGCCTCAACTTGCACACACCTTCTGGGCACCAGACCACAGCTGTCCTTAATACTACCACCTTCCAAGGGTCCTGGATTTTGTACCAGTTGCAGAAGATCCATTTCACACATGCTTTTGACAAAACAGAGTGCATTATGTCAAGGGAGGACACCAGAACACCACCCCAGAATGTGTGCTATTTTCATGATGAGTTCATTTGCATGACTTCTACAAAGAGAAGAAGGGTATAAAAAGTAGCACAGTTTACAAGTGGTAAGAGGTGAGACTAGGGCCCCAATTCTCCTCCCCTACAGACACACACACACATCTCATGGGTAAACAATCAGTGTGATTTTCAGTTTCTACTGAGACAAACTAATTCTGGCAGATCATCAGAAGAGTATGGTTTCAAATGCAAATATGTAGGTGTTTTTTATTTATATGGCCGTTGAACTTTTTTAGTCCCCAAACTTTTAAACTGGCTATTGCACAACTGATTTTTCTGCTTATGTGAATTAGCATGCACATCTTCAGCTCTACCTCTTTTTAATTATAATTATAAAAAAAATATCAAAAGACTAATTTGAAAAATACTTAGTAGCCTTTGATATGGACAAGGAAGATCTCAAGACTTTTGTCAAGAAAGACAAAGGACACTGACAAGCGATTATCCCTCTGTGTTGTTGGAAGACTTGTTTGCAGACAAAATTGAACAAAACCTCCAAAATAACATCACAGATAAGCCCCAGAGGATGTTTATTTTGCCTGAAGCAAAAAGATGATGATGTGTGCCAGCACCAGCATATCAGGGGGATCTTCCTGTGACAGCACATCTGTGTAACTCTAGTCTGCTTGAAGCAAGAGGACAAAGGAACAGCAGTACTCCAGGTGGAACCAGATACTTTTAACCTGCGACAGAAATGTCACACAGTGCACAAGGGGGGATGCTGCAATGTTAAGAGAGCAGTAAACAAACCTATTCAAGCCTATCCAGCAATGATAAAAACAGTGAACTTGTAATCCTAACTGTTAAAGGCAGAGAGGGGAAAAAACTGGAAAACAGCATGTCATGGTTCTGAACAAAAAAGGAACAAACAAGCTACATCCTCAGCAATGCAAGGGCTTGTTAAAATCTTACCTGTGTGATCTAGGACAGGGCTGTTGGCACCACAGGTTTGGTACAGTGAAGCAAGGTCCTTTGGAATGTATGTTTTAAAGATATTTAAAATGTCCAAATGTTTCTCATGCCCATCTGATCCCAGATCCTGTTTGCTGGAGTGTAAAGCCGGAGGAACTCCCACGGCACCAGGCTGAGGCTGCAGCACTGGACTGGCTCGTGCTACCGCTGTGCAGTTTGCCAATGTCCTCATCTCATTTCCAGCCTTGACGTGAGGCTCCCTCTGAGGCACGGACGGCTCTTCGTGTTTAGGGTACTGCTCATTCTTACACAGGGAATGGTACTGCAGCGGGGGGGTGTATTTGGCCTTCATGGAGTCGGATGCACAGTGCTTACCTGGAGAGGCAAAACCAGTACTCCCTTGGGGAATCACATACTTTTCCACTTGCTTACTGTTGGTGGGCTGTGTGCTAGGCCTGGATATGACTGTTTGAGTAGGTGTTACACTTCTGACGTAGGTTCCCATTTGTGGGAGTTTGGAATTTGCTTCATATTTGCTTTTTTGTTGTGCTGTTATGCTGTACTGCTCCTGGGAATGGTTTAACTTGGGCTGTCTGTAGCCATCCAGGCCTGACACACGTGAAGCACAGTGGCCGAGCGCGTGACTGTCCTTTGACGGATGCGTACTCCCAGACTTTGCAGCCATCCCAACAGAATGGGAGCTGGGTTTGGAACCTGGCAACGCACTTGGCACTTGAGTACGTGTAAATCTGGCAATGGGCAAAGGCTGGCATTCCTTCCCGCCGAGAACAGGAGGGGGGCCAGTGCGCCCACTCCTCGCCAGAAAGACCAGGTTGGTTTTAATACTCTTGAATCCGTTTTGTTGAACCCACGGGGGTACCATCGAGTTACAGCTGATTCTGTGCAAAATTCTTTTGTGCATCCACAGGACTTCAGGGTAGTAGGTCTTGTGACTGCAGAAAGGACACGGGTAGACAATTAAAGCAGCCTGCAAGGATGTATTCAGATATTTATTGCATGAATTATCCCTTGTTGATTTTTCACTCAAATCAAGTGGAGCTACCTCTAGAGTTTCAGCACCTTTTTCTATCAGAGGATGCTCCCTGTGCAAGTCTAGCAAATTTTCTCTAGCACGACTAGCCTGCACTTCAAGTGTCGTTTTCAAGTCCATGACCATGTCTAAAGATGTCTGGCCCATACCAGAAGCAAAGCTAGCAATGTGACTGGAGCAAGGAAGCCCTTGGCTGTGATGAAATACTGGCATCTTTATGTCTGCAGAACCATGGTATTTTGAAAAGGGTTCCTTGATGACACTCTCCAGTGCTGAGACCAGAGCAGGAATCTCTGGTTTAGATTCCCTGGCTTCATTCTCTCTGGCGTTGCAGCCTCCCAGCTTTGGGAGCTCATCCAACTGAGATGTTATCATTGGGGTTTCCTCTTCTGGGAAGTTGCAGTGGTATGGCTTTCCATCTAAATGGGAGAAACAAAAAAACATCACTGTCATTTTACGCAGAAAGGAGCCCAAAAGACGAAGAAGAATTCAAGATTAGAAGAGGACAAACTTTGGCATTACTATGGTAATGATGTGCTACAGACCAAATGTCCTGTATGAGCAAGAAAATCTTGAAATAAGACACAACAGTTCAATTTACTTTTAAAGATGATTGTGTAGTCTGGATAAGCTCTCTAGTACTGGGTGTTCATGACATTTTGAAGAAAAAACAATTCAATAACATACCCATGTTAAAATTCTGGGACTGCGAGAAAAATAAACAAATCTGCAACCATTTAATGCTTTAACAAAAGCAAAGATAATGGAGCCAGATAAAACTGACCCAGTTAAAGGTCTGTCAGTGCTTCCATTACAAGCCCCTATTTTCAAAGGGTTTATAACTCAGCAATAAAAATTGGCTCCGCACAGAAACCAACCATATAAGCAGGTAGAGCATACAGAATGAATTGCCCACTTAAGGAAGACTTTTGCAGTGGCCAAGTATAAAAGATGAGTTATAGAGGATGTAAATTTTGAATTTTTTGTCCTTTAGTTTAAAGCAGGTATTTTTCTTCTGGTTTCTTTAATATTTTTTTTCTTTATAACATACATTTATGTTTGAGTCAAACTTTAGAAAAACTTTGTGATGCCTCAATCCATAGGAAGATAAGAACCCAACATTTCAGCCATTTAGATTACAGAATTCAAAATGCACTTTTAATTTTCCTCATTTTCTTTTTCACTTCTCCAGAGTAAATTTATCCACCTAACATATGTCCTGGAAAGGGAGCATACTGGCCAGTAATTAAAACTGTTTAGGGTGAAAGAGTAGGAGTTGTTTTCCTGGGAGTGTGGCTACAGCTGCCTGCTCTCCCAGTGTTGACCTCTGAGAACCACTGATGAAGCCAATGAATCCCTTTAAATCAGTTCACAGATCAATTCCACAGAGATTTTCACCACAGCAGTAACGCTTACTGCACTGAATCCATTTAGCATGTAACTGAACTGAATCATCTGACAAACTTTCAGTTTCAATTAACACGCAGTTAATGAGCCACTGCCAGGCAAGTATAAGGAGACTGTGCTCCATCTAAAACATCACCAGTCCAAAGTGATCACATATCCATAGGAGGGGTGAGAAGGGGAAAGGAGTGAACTGCTCTAGAGCTGCATATCCTCTCACATCAGCTCAGAAAAGCCAGCCCTTCAGAGAAGCAAGCGCTGTTCGTTAGTGCGGGGCACTGCCACGGGCATTATTCCGCAATGGAAGAGCCACGCTGTTGGCTGGAGCTGCTCTGCACATAAAGTCTACTTATCCTCACCTTCAATTCAAGCAAAAACATTCTTAAGCTTTTGTTTAATTCGAGGTAATTAGGTTAAAAATAACCCATAGGTTTGCAGCCTCGCAGGGCTGAATGCTCACTCTGCAAAAATCATTTTCCTTTCAAACTCTCCGAGGGAGTATAGGCAGGGGGAAAAAATCCCCACAACCCAGAAACTTGTTTTTCCCGTGTTGCAGGCGACAAGGTTTTGGGAAAGCACATGCCCAGAACCACTAGCCAAATTTACAGTTTGAAACAAAGACACTGCATGCAGCAGTGAAATCTGACACTGCACATCTGTGTTGTTTTCAAAGTATATCTGTCAAAGCTCAAAATACTTGTGCTCTTAAATAAGATTTTAAGGCTTTTCTTTATGATCATAAGAAGTGGCTGCTTTGATCATTGTAGTAAATAATAAAGCAAAGCAAAAACAAATCCTTTGGTTGCAGCAGTACTCAGTGGAGAGAGAACTGACCTGCTGGCTGTACTGGGCAGAGGAGGGAGGTGGGAGACCACTGCCAGCCCCATTCCAGGGACTCCACAGCTGGGAGGCTCTTGGTCCACCTCTGCAGCTGTGATGAAGGGGGGCATCAGCAGTACAGTATCCGTAACTCCCAGGTTGCTCTGAGTACCACAGTCATTCCTGCATACTTTTTTGCTTGGTCAAAATCTATGTACAAAGCTCTTTCAGCAAGGAGGACAAGTCAGACTGTGGGAGGTGGCACATCTCAGGTCTAGGCTTGGTCTTTAGGTCTGGACTGTTCAGTTTAGGTTAGCACCTGGGGATGGGTGTTGTATTGCACTAAATAGTTTATTTAGTAGTTGTTCTGCACTGGGTAACAGGAATTTTGTACTGAGTGTGGTGTGTCATGTAGATTATTCCCCCTTCCTCATCACATGGTTTCTCCCCATGCACTCCTTTCTACACACCTCCATGTGGTCTGCCCCATGGATACCCCTCCCCTCGACCCTCCCCAATGTTACCCCATTGGCCACGGTCCTCTTTCCTCCCCCGCCTTTCCCCTGGGGGATAAAACCCCACTGCAGGTAAAGGTTCGGCCTCTTTTGCCATCGGGGTGGTAGCTGAGGCCAGCAGTGTCCCATCACAAGCCAATAAACAGGATACTCGTCCCCACGTGGTGGAAGAGCGCTCCTCGTCTTTTATCTTCAGTCCATGCAGGTCCGAACTAGCCGGGTCGGATTTATATAAAGCCCAGAGAACCACGGATTATTGCAGAGGGGAGGAGGAGGAGAAAGCAGGGAGACAGCCCACAGTCCCATGTGCCCCCCATAAAGCCTGGGACTGCAAATTTTGAGGTGGATGCAGGCCTTTCTGCCCTATTTCCTAGTGCATCCATCTATGAAGAAAGGATTTTTTCAGGTGGAAAATGTAATACAGAGCAGGAAAATGATGAAAACAGTTCTGAGGTGTATAAGCCTGCAGTTGCCCCAATGCTGTCAGTGCATTAGATGAAAATTTATAAGGCTATGACAAAACACAACCATGAGCTTCTAACACCTCTTCATAGTGTCTTGCTAGACTCAATTCCTCTGATATCTCACAAGAACAGTAATGAACGTACGAGGAATAATTTTAAAGCTTAGATCAGGAGGCTCAATAGCTGTATTTGTGCTAACTGCCTTTCTTTTAAACTGTACTTAAAAAAAAAAAGACAAAACAGCAACAACAAATTAATGAACAAACAAAACCCCAAACAAAAACCCCACATCCATACCCTACTTCCCAAGATTTGGACAGAAAAATTTTCACCTGCAGGCCAACTCAGACTTCCTTCTCAGTACAAAGCACACCCTATGTTCTTCCTTAGTCCCATCCTGCCCTCCACCAGGGATCCAACACTACAGATTTCAACACCCAGACTGCCTCATGCCATCCTTCCCATCATGGCAGGTGGTCCAGGCCAGGCAGTGAGCAGGTAACAAAAGCCAGGTGGAAGAGGGGATGCAGGCAAGAGCATGGAAAGATGGGAAGCATACTCAAAAATATACGTAAAGTCTTTTTAGAAAAATGTATTAAATTTATTTCTGCCTGCTCCCAGCTACTTGCCCCAGCTGAAAAGGGGTACTAATAACCCTTTTAAATCACTGGTATAAAATATTGTTCAGTGCAGGCATTACTGTCACCAGAAACTTTTGAAATTTTATTATGGCCAGGTCAAAGCAAAAAGCCATGAATGAGATGCCTTCTGCTTGATCTCCAGGGACTATAACTCATACTCCCCATTGAAAGAGTTCTTGGCTAAGCATGCTCTCGCTTTTATCCTGCAGTCTCCATCATCTGCTTATATTTTGTCTCAATTCCTTTGTTTCTTACCCCAAACAGCTGTTTTTATCTGTTGTACTTTAGAGTAAGAAAGGTCCTTTTACTACAGGAGAAGTGTTCCAGTTTTTCTGTATCACAGATACCTGGCCAACAGCTAAAGCAGAGTTTTCCAAGGCACCTAGGTAGGAGGTGGCTGCTGATGCCACCACCAGTTTCACTGCAGCTTCAAGTATCAACAGCATCACAGACCACAGGGAAAGCAAAGCAGGAGAGTGCAAAACACTGAACTATATGAAAACCATGGTCTAGAAATACACAAGTATATTCGGGGATTTGAGCAGCTCCTCAGAAATACACCTAATGCCCTCACCCAGTTACTCACACACAGAGATAAAAGCAACTCCCCTTCTCCCCACACACATATATCCCTGTCCTCTCTTTCTCCCCCTCACATGCATAAACTCCACTTGTTTTCTTCCCAGCACTGTTTCTCCACAAAACAGAACTTCAGAATGGGCTGCACAGCTGTTTTAATTCATGAGGCTTCCTAAAAAGTAAACCAGGCTACAAGGCTGAGGACAATGAAATCGTGATTTCTATTCAGAAGAGCAGAACTGGCTAGAAATTGGCCCCTTTTCTGGTTAGTGTTACAGCACTAGGAGTCTAAGGAAAAGGAGCAGATGTGGTGTGTTTGATTTTCAGAAAACATTTGATAGTGATTTGCACTTTGAGATGAATACTGTGGCTTGATTTGAAAACTGACTGCAAATAAATCATGATAAAAGCAAAGGATAACATGGGAAGAAAGTGCAATATTGCAAAGACCTGTATTAGGTCCTATTTCACTTGGTATTTTCTTTAATGTTCCAGAAGAGATTCTAGACAGCATGCTAACTTAAATCTCCAGGAAATATCACATTTGGAGGAGCTGCAAAAATAATGGGGACAAGGAAATAATGCACAGGGACTCAGAGAGAATAGAAATGCAGTCTGAAAATAATCAAATGAGATTCATTCTTGGGAAGAAAAGCAGGCTAAGACAAGTGAAGGGAAATGATCCAAAAAAATCCATGCAGTGGGAAGGCAAAATCTGGGAAGAAGCAATGTTGAAGATAACTGATGTTACAATAGACAGCAACTTAAATATGAGTGCACTAGATAAAGTTCTTCAGCTTAGTTTTCTGAGATAAAAGCACACATTATAAAAACAAAAAAACCCCTATCCCTCTGAAGAAGACACAATGGCCATGCAGGTCACACTGGGTTTTGAATATAGAAAATATATAAAAAGCATATATAAAAAAATCTATATAAATATATACACACCATAATAATGGGCCCTGTGGAAAAGCCCATAGTAAGCACAATACAG